CGAATCCAACAAAAAAAAAGACCAGTAAAAGCAGACCAGGAAGGAAGAGTCCACAGGGGAAGTTCTTCATCTGAGTGTGAATAGGTGTTTGAGCAAATGGGGGAACCATTAAAATAGTACATGTGTATGAAGCATGGGGGATATTAAATGCATTAAAGGAAAAAACATGAACAGTTCTAACAATTATTAAACAAGCAGTTAGACTTATATGCAATTCAGGAGCCTGTAAGATTTGCATTAAAGATAATGTAGGACTAAAACCATCTAAAAATGCTAGTTTTGTAAAATCAGCAAATGGTCAAACATCCTAGGAGTGGATGTCAAAGGATTAGGAAAAAGATTGCAAGGTTACATGTTTTTGTAGTAATATCACCTACTCACCACATTAATTTGTTAGGATGGGAATTGATGGGAAATTTAAGCAATTTTTCCCAAACAGGGTGGCATGAAGGCCGAATGTGGAGAACATATAAATAGGGTTTCAACAAAATCTTCTTGTGTCTATATGCACTATGCTAGAAGCACATTGTCAGATCCACAGGATGAAACTGTGTTAGTTGAACAGTAGAACACTTTGAATTTGTGCAAAACAGTTTCTGAAACAAGACATTACTATAATGGCTACACAAATTATGTACACAGATGGGGGTTTGTTAGCAGCAGTTACTGTTATGCTTTCTACACAGATGTAAGGAATGTACCGCTTATCATGGGTAAATCATTTGTCATTGGTTAAGACCAGTGAAGCACAGTGGAGAGACACAGGCCTGTGTTTAGAAGCTGCAGAAGGCGCATCTGATTTCTATCTATGTCCGCGTCACACAAACCAGGCTGGCTCTATAGCCCTAACACAGAACTATGGAAACAGCCTTATAAAATTCTGTTCAATGTAAAACCCCAGGTTCAAGATTTAGCGTGTGTTATAATAACTCAGCATTCTCTGCTATCACAATTTGATGAAAATGATTTCAAAGATATTCCAAATGCATTGTGGTCTACAAGAAGAATTGATGCAAGACTGTTGACAACTATAGATTTAGTTGAAATAGTTCCTAATACAGGCCAAGGATAAAACAATATCTCCTAAAATGTGAAGCAAAGGAAAGTATAAACTAGTTATAAAAATTTTAGCGGGTGGAGAAATAAGTTTGTTGTTTGGGCCATGTTATTTCGGAGGAGGGTGAAAAGCTACAAGCTTAAGCTGCAGGGCTTAGATTCCACATTATGAAAAAAAAAGAAACTCAGCTTTTCTTAAGCTTTTTTTTTTACGACACACTAATAACTATGTCAGAGAAGCAGACAGCAATTCACAAAGCTGAATGTAGAACTTTTCTCAGCAACTGTCTTAGCTTTGTAAACTTATCAAAAACCGTGCATCCAAACAGTTGGCAGTTAAGCAAGTTATATGACCTCTGTGTTGTTAAATTCTCATGGTGATACGCTCATACCTGTAGTGTCTTAATTTTAAGGGTTAAAGGGGACCCGTGTAAACAACAGTTCCCCCATATTCTTATTCTTTAGTTGGATATATTTATATATATAACTGTAACTTGAGCATGTAGCAAAAGCAGTTTCCCTCTGGAATTATTCTGATTCTGATTAAAACCAGCAGCTATTTTTAACAATGAAATTATCATGTCTCAAACAGGGGGGAGTTATGATGAATATAGTATAGTAACACACACAGGTGTGTAACTACTACTGCTTTTAAAATTTTTGCATTTCTCACATGTTGTAAATACAATTCACAAGGAAATCAGATAACTAAGTGAGGACAGGTGCCAAGAGGTACAGCTCCAGTTGAAATAATTAGCATGGACTACATTGAGCTGACCCCAAGTGGACAATACAAGCACTGCCTAGTCCTAGTGGACAATTTTTCTAAATGGGTAGAAATTGTTCCCACAAAACATGCCAATGCACTGACAGTAGCAAAAGCTTTGTGTAAACATGTCATACCTGAGCATGGTATCCAAATAATCTTACAAAGTGATAATGGAACACATTTTGTGAATGAAGTGGTATCACTGATGTCCAAACATTTAAACATAAACTTTGAAACATCATTGTTCCCACC